CGTCACGTCCACGATCTCATTCGGGACTCTGAACAAACTTCGGTCAATAACCAATAGCCAATAGCGTGCGGACCCTATGGGTTCGAGAACTATGTAGACATGACCGAGACACATCTCAGGTCAATAACCAATAGCGGAACCTGGATTCTCATATTGGATCGTACATATTCTAGAAGATCTTTATCGGTCAAATCGCATAACAACATACATTGTTCCCTTTGTCATCGGTATGTTACTTGCCCAAGATTTGATCGTCGGTATCATTATACCTAGTTCAATCTCGTTACCGGCAAGTCTGTTTACTCGTTCCGTAATACTTCATCCTGCAACTAACTCATTAGTTACAATGCTTGCAAGGCTTATAGTGATGAGTATTATCGAGAGGGGCCAGAGATACCTCTCCGAAACACGGAGTGAAAAAATACTAATCTCGATATATGCCAACCCAACAAACACCTTCGGGGACACCTGCAGAGCACCTTTATAAACCCTTTTACGTTGTGACGTTTTGGTAGCACACAAAGTTTTCCTCCGGTATTCGGGAGTTGCATAATCTCATAGTATGAGGAACTTGTATAAGTCATGAAGAAAGCAATAGCAATAAAACTGATATGATCATAATGCTAAGCTAATGGATGGGTCATGTCCATCACATCATTCTTCTAATGATGTGACCCCGTTCATCAAATGACAACACATGTCTATGGTTAGAAAACATAACCATCTTTGATTAACGAGCTAGTCAAGTAGAGGCATACTAGGGACTATATGTATTGTCTATATATTCACACATGTACTAAGTTTCCGGTTAATACAATTCTAGCATGAAAACATTCATCATGAATTAAGAAAATAAATAATAATTTAATTATTGCCTCTAGGGCATATTTCCTTCATAAGGGTCATGTTAAAGCTTACACGGTCATACTTGAAGTTGTGGCACCATAAGATCTATGGATTTGGCACTCTTTTTTCCGCATGGTGGGTTCTCAAAATGAAATCAACATGCTTCAAAGCTCTCCGGTGTTCACAAGGCTTTCAGAAGGTAACTCCCAAAGGGTAAGTTTGAGGTTATGAAGACCAACACAAGGGATACTACCTAGTTGATGGTATCTACCCTCCATAGTCAACTACTGTGGAGACAATTTCCAAGCCCGTGGGAGAGAAGAGGTCTAGGTTTGCACAAGAACAAGAGAGTGGTATGAAGGATGTGGAGCATACTTTTGGTGTGCTCCAATCTCAATGGGCTATTGCAGGGCACCCTGCCACAACATGAAGCCCGCACGTGATGTGGGAGGTGATGGTTGTTTGTGTGATCATGCACAACATGATCGTAAAGGATGAGCATGATGCTAGCCTATTTGATCAATGGTGGGATTTCCAAGGTGAAAATGTTGAGCCTGAGTATGGAGCGGCAATGTTTGCGCAGTTCATCCAATTTCATCAACAAATGCGCGATTGGACAACTCACATTAAACTTATAAATGATTTGGTTGAGTATATGTGGACTCTTTTTCTTTCAATGTATTTGGTACAATTTTAAATTCATCTGGTTGTAAATTATGAGATTTTTATTCATTGTGATGTAAAAAATTATGTGACTTATTTGGTTGTAAACTATACATAATGTTTTTGTTCATATTTATATCCATAAAATGCCTAAATTATGAAATTTGGCGAAAAACCGACCAAGCGGATCAAATGGTTGGACGATTGTGCGTACCGACAATATTTGTGTGGACGAGGGCGGACGCGGACCTATAGCCTATCCAACAGACAAAAAGTGGATCAAATCTGCGTCTCTTTGTGTCGGCACGTTGGAGTTGGCCTTACCGCTTGGCTTGGCGTTCCATCACACACTTTTTAGGGCACGGGAGCACTTCAGGGTCATCACGTGTCCCGTGTTGGACACTTTCCTTGTGGGGACTTTCTTTTTGGGTTTTGGAGGGTGGTGGTTTTTTGGTTTCACCTATTTTTTTGATTTATGTGAAGGAGTGTGCACAGTGGTGCTTCACCTGAAAGCATAATTGTGCTTCCTCAAAACTGAAGGACCGTTATTACAGTTTTGAAGCACAGATTAGTTCTGTTTTAAAGCACATTTTTTTCCGACTTTGGAGAACATATTTGGTCCAAAAATAAGTTTGTCAAAGCCTATCAACACGGGTATTGCTTTTGAAGATCTGGACGTGAGCAATTGAATGATGAAAATAGTTCGTGATTTGGGCATATGATTCAAAAGAAAAATCATTTTCAAAATCGAATCAACGAAAAAAAGATACAAACAAAATCACTCATCCCTTCCACGCGTGTGAAGAAATCCAACCAATACTACCATCGGAGAAGATGTGAATGACCTTTGAAAACAGTGGCGGAGCCAGGATTGGCTGACGTCCCAGGCTAGAAACTAAGGGGCGTCTCCAAGGTGAACCATCAAACCTCCCGCAAGCCACCACGTACCGTTTCTAGTCTGCGTCCGCTTAGAATGACTAACATTTGGCGGAAGACTTTGTGCTAATTGCGATACATTTAGCGGAAGGCAGCGCGGAAGACGTTTGTGTTTTGGCGGAAGATGCTAATTATGCTTGATTAAGAGGTCATTGCTAAATTAGGCGGAGCTTAGTAGCTTCATTTGACACAAGCTAGCTTTCCGCCAAATGCGTATGAGTAGAATATGACAGAAACTAGTAGCTTAGCTATCAAACAAACTACAAATCACCCATGTGAAATAGGAAGTACTATCTTAAAGACATGCTCCTCTTTGATAAAATCGAGCCCCTTGAAAATAGTCAAAATTGGACCACGCTGTCGTGTTCCATCTGTATCTAACAGTGCATTACAGTAAATCATTATCAACATTTTTACAGAAACTGCAAGCTACTGCAGATACATGAGGCTACTACACCTCCAGATTATTAACATCATGCTAGTTACTTTCTTCCAGCTCACTAGTAAATCTAATATTTCCTCCGTCCCAAAATAAGTGTCTCAACCTTAGTATAACTTTAGTATAAAGTTGAGATACTTATTTTAGGATGGAGAGAGTACATTCTAACTTGGAAACAAAAAATGGGATTTGGAAGAGCTACCTTTGCTCTGCTGCCTGCTCTGTGCTACGGCTCGGCTGAGTGAGGACAAAGGCCGACGGGTGGGTTGCACGCCTCCGGGCAAACAACGGCCGCCTTGCCGGACGCCGGCCAGCCTGTCGCGGGTCACGCAACCACCCCTAGGGTTCATCCAAGTTGGGGGAGGGGTGGCCGGTGGCCGGTTCATTCGTCTAAGTCGAGCACAGCGCAAGGAGATGGGACTCGGTGCCTCATGCCTCAGGCGAATTGGGCCAGGCCCCAGGCCGCCTTTGTGTAAATCTACAGTATTTCGTACAGTACATGAACGAGATGGGCCTCATGCCACAGGCGGCCGACCGGGCTGCCTGGGGCCTATCTCCACCCATGTTTGAAAGGGTATTCACAAATAGTCATTTCACTCGAAATCACTTATTGAGGAGTACTCCTTGCAAAGACACTCCGACCTTCTCGGGTTGTGATATGTGCGCCACTTATTGCAACCAGGGAGTTTTCCCTTTTTTTCATAGATCCGTTTTCAAAACATTTTATCTCTTAAACCATGCGTCCAAATCTCAAACTGTTTTCAATGTTGGATTCCTCGCGTCAAGATCTTCAAAACTAGATCCCATATTGATATATTTTAACGAACTTTTTTTTCACGAAAAAACCGAATAAAAAGACTGACCGGGAGCATGATTTTTTCCCTTTCCGAGAGAGGGATAGCCGTGCCTCCCGCGGAAGCACAACCATGCCTCTCGCAGAAGGAAAAAAATAGAAACACATTTTTTTCGAGGCACACAACCGTGCCTCTCACGAAAGCACAATCATGCCTCTCGCGGAAGCAAAACCGTGCCTCTAGCGAAACTGCGGAAGAAGAAAAAAGCAGAAAACACGTTTTTTTCAGGCACGGCCATGCCTCTCGCGAAAGCAAAACCGCGCCTCACACGAAAGAAAAAAAAGAGAACATGTTTTTTTTCTTTTTCAAGAGGAATAGTCGTGCCTCTCGCAAAAGCAAAACCCTGTGCCTCTAGTTGGGCTAGATCGCTTGACATATCCCATGACTGGGTGATGCCCTACATTCCATCCCTGGCTCCAATCTAGTTGAAAAGCCAGTTGGCTGAATATGTACTGGCAGGGAGATATCTTCAGTATGCCTGTCCAAATCAGATCCCGGTTGTAATGTACAAAAAAAGAATGAATTCCTATTTTTGGCTCATATAAGGATTAAGGCCACACAACTCTGTGTTCAACGTAGATGTTGAAAGTGCAATATAGCACTGTCAATAGAGCAGGTACATTCCACCTTCCACCTGCTTATCGGCTTTGGCATTTGGCTTGCTTACCAAGTTCAGTCAATCATCAACATTTACATACAGAAATCATATGACATCTATCGTAGTACTAGTAAACGCACCAGTTCAAGCAACCAAGCTCCTAAGGCTCACGCACTAAATTAAAATCTACCGAAAATGAAACTTTGGCGAAAATCGCGTCATCTTTCAAGCTTTAGCCGCCGCCCTCGGCACAACTCATCCCATTTGGCTATCTTATTCATTGAATTGCAGCATGGCATGGTGTATAGGTTTACAACATTGGATCAAGAGCACCCCCCAGTTTGCACCCAGGAAGCCCTAGCCGGGTTTTTTGCTGTCAAAATCCATGCATATATATAGATCACACATAAAGATGGTTTGACACAAGTTCAAGTACTAAGCTAGCAAAACATGGCTTGCTTCAGTGAGGTTTTGCTTCCGTCATCGATTTGAAGCAAAACTTTAGAAACAGTGCTCCACAACCGGATGAAATATCTAATCCGGACCAAATGAACACTGGTGCCTCCACCAGAAGCTGAGAGATTGCTTTAAAAAAAACTTAGAGATTTGGAAGTACTCGCTTGTCAAACCCAATCATACAAAGGCACCCCATCACTTGTTGGGCCTATTGTGGCGTGACGGTCACACCCACCATCGCTGTGGCGCTTGTACCGGTTCCTCGGAGCAACACCTTCGGCACAAGGAACTGGAAGCAATCTTTGGGAAACCCATCATACAGATTACTGCTCCTCATTAAGAACTCCATAGACTGAGAAAAGCTTGGTTCAGCGCACGACAATGTTAGCTTGCACCTGAAGCTGGATCCAGTAATGTGAGGCTGGACGGAGCAAACTGAGATGACACCACCGCGGGACTCCATTGTCATGTTGACCAGGAAGAGGTTCCCGTCCTCGCCCACCAGAACGGTTGATCCCACATGGATGCGGATCCGGAACGCCTTGTTGTAGGTAACTTTCGGGGAGTGCCACTTGTGCTTGCCTGAAAAATGCTCAAGGAGCATCGCGGTAGGTCCGCTGAAGCCGCAGCCGGTTTCCGGGCAGAAACATGGTGCATGTGGACAACCTTTCTCATGGTCTTCTTTCTGGTAGTAGGCTATCCTTGTAGTGCATCCGTGGTTGCAATTGGAGCAAGCAACTTTGACGGATTCAACGACATGTTCTACCATGTGGCAGCGGTTGTAGACTGTGGGAAGGGAGCAGAAGTGGCACTTCTCTTGGAGCTTGTCATGGCAAGACGAACATATGGTATGCCCTACAGTGCACTGAGGAACAGAAACAACAAATCAGTATATATGCTAGTAACTTAGCTGAATTAAAATCATAATGAAGAATAACACAGGAATTGAAAGTATGCTAGTGGCCGAGTACATGCTAGAATAACCATGATATGGTTTGAGTTAACAATACCCATAAAGATGTAAAAAATGGGAGCAGATAAGAATATCCTGCACGAAGTTAAGCCCAGCTATCATTCCCATTTGAATAACTTAAATTCACCAGATGCAACTTTTAACTTATTTTATTTTGTTTTTTAGCTTGAACAGTGGGGGAGGTCCCCATGGTATATTCTATGTTTACAAGGTGGAGATAAATGCAATGAAGTGTACAAATGGAGTAGGGCTGTAGAGGGGCATTACAAAGTATTGTGTGACCAGTCAAGGAAACTTAGTCTGTGCGTGTCCATAACTCTACATGAAACAAGGACTAGTTCTGACTTAAGAAGCACTTTTCAACTAGGGAAGGAAGGTTCCTGCCGCCAAAAAAACAAGTTCTTCCTAACCTTCCAAATATTCCGATGAGGAAGAGCATTATACACACTTCCTAGAAGCACGGCCCAGCAAATATTCCCATAGCGGTTGCGACTATGTTGAGATGCAGATGTACTTTGCGTTTCTTTTAATCATACATGATGGATTGTACATTTCAACATGACTTGGGCTTGTGTAGCCAGTTAAGGAAACTTAGTCTGTGGGTGTCCTTAACCATATGCCAAACAAAGACTATTACTTAAGAAGTACTTTCCACCTTGGGTAGGACATAAAGTTGTTCCTAACCTTCCAAATATCCCAAAGAACAGATATATACACTTCCCAGAAGCACATCCCGGCAAATGATCCCTTAGCAGCAGTTACGACTAGTTGACACACAGGTGTACTTTGCGTCTCTTTTAATCATACATGCTGAATTGTACATTTGAACAACATGGCTTGGCTCACTTTTATGGTTCAGACTTAATGTAGTGCCGTTATACTTTTGCTTTATTAGAAACTTCAGAAAAAAAATCATAGAAGTTGGGTGGATCTAAAGCTGTACCCACTGCTGCATAAACATGATTACAATATCATCATTTCATAATAACAAAATAGCATTCACATTAAAAGAATGCACATGAATCTCCATTTGACATGAATTTGTTCCATAAGGTAATTAATAAATAATAATAACTAGTTGCATAAGTTTACTCCTAGCAGTATGACAGAAGTTCTTCCTATATGGAGATACACCAGCCCACACTACACAAGTGGATAATATGTCATTGCTTCATTGAATATAGCATACTTCCCGTAGTTTGTGGTTTCTCCATAATGATGATACACATAGAGTTCACGACTTGCCTAGTTTGCATAGGGCACTTCCCAGTTTCCCTAATATAGTACTCCCCCCGTTCCGAATTACTTGTCTTGAATTTGTCTAGATACGGATGTATCTAGACTCATTTTAGTGCTAGATACCTCTGTATCTAGACAAATCCAAGACAAGTAATTCAGAACGGAGGGAGTATAATTTTCCACAATTATAACAGGAAGCAGTGAACATTGAAGAGAACACGGCAAACATTTGTTAGGCGGTAATTCTACAATTACCATCTGAATCCATTCTTCAACTGCAATTACCATCTGAATACATTCTACTTAATTCTACTGCAATGCCCATCCCCACTTCTGTCCATAGTTGCAAGTTGCAACATTTATTAAGCTGAATGCTACAATTGCCCATCCCAACTGAATGTTTGACCAACTAGTGAAAGCTTGATAGACATTACAACATCTGGGCTAATGTCCGCATCTGATTCTTCACTCTTCAGTGATGCCAATCTCGACTTGCAATTTCGCAACCACAAAATTAGAAGTTTATAGACCTGGTAGTATGGTACCCAAGTCCAATTTCTGGATCGACTACGCACTGAATCCTATAACTAACTAAATAATCAGGGGAACATCCCCACAGTTTGGCGACAAAACTAGTCTAGGAACCAGACGCATTGGAAGTGGTACTAAAATATGCAGATTTCGCAGTACTTTGAGACTCCCAAACAAAATCCACATATTCATTTGCACCAGAGATGAGTGAATCCATGAGGGGCTTAGTAGTATCAGTACAGATCAAGACAGGTGCAGGGGGTACCTGGAAGATGGGAGGGCGCAGGGGCAGGTAGCAGACGGGGCAGTCGAGGATGTCGAGGTCAATGGTGACATCGGCGGCGACCTTCCTCCTCTTGCCGCCGCCGCCGCCGCCCTCCTTTTCCGCCTCCTTCTCCTGCTGCTGCGCTCGCATCCCTTCCTCCTTTTCTTCCGGCAGGCGGGCCCATGGCGGGAGGTGACCGACAGGAAGATACACATGCCCGGCCATCCGCTGGACCCCAAGGGCTTCCCGTCGCACGGCCGGAGTCCAGCCGCCGCTCTCTTCTCTTCTCTCCCTGCCGCCGCCGCCGCCGCCGCCGCCGTCTCTCTCTCTTTCTCTGGGAACGACTGCTTTGTAAAATTTCGAAATTTGGAGCAAAAGGAGAAGGCAACGGAGGAGACGGCGCAGAAGTTGGGCCGACCAACGGCCCGGTTAATTGACTGCCGCGCTTTCCGGATGTCAAAGGTGGCCGCGCTTTGAAAGCATCCCTAACACATCCGCAAACTGGGCCATCCGGTATGTGGTTAAAAAAAAACTGGGCATCCGGTAATATAAGGCCAACTCCACCGCGCGATCCATTCTGTCCGGGCCCGTCCTTTGGGGTAAAACGGACAAATCGGGCGACCCAGCGCACGGAAGCAAACGGACTTTTATCCGTTTTGTGTTCGCTTTCGACCCATTCGCGATCCAAGTTTGCGCCGCTTTTGAGGTGAAACAGACACCACGCGGATGCGCCGACCGTCTGCGCGTGTCCTTCCCTGGCCCGCCCGTCGATGGCACAGGACGGGTCTTTTTCTATCCGCCCCCTCCCTCCCTCCGGCCGCATCCCACTCCACTCTTCTCCACTCTTCCCCACTCTTCCCCTCGCCGCCGCCGCCCGCTGCCATTGCAGCCGTGCAACTCGGACGCGCGCTCGCCCAGCCCCAGCCCCTTCCCCTCGTCGCCGCCGAGCTGACCAAGCACGGCACCTAGTTTGCGCACCCGCCGGCCGGATTTGGGGCGGATCCGGTCGGTCTTGAGCTCGCACGGCTGTGGGAGGCCGGGTCGCGCCATGGACTGGCCGGGCACCTCGCCGGAAGGCCCTGGCAGGGCCGCAAGGCCACATGCAGGCAGTGGCTCGTCCTCTAGCCGCTCAGATCTGCACCGTCGGTAGTCCGCCGACAGATACGCGAATGGCGGCCGATGGGGCTCGGTGCTTACCCAAAAGCTTGTCGGCGCACCGTTGCCCCTCATCAAGTGTGACCACTGCCCAAGGGTGGTTGTGCGCCACGTGTCTACAACGCCGGAGCATCCCGGATGGGTGTTCATCAAGTGCTTAAACGATGGGGTATGTGCTCTTTTTAGCTTCGGTTTGTGCTCTCGGATTAGACTAGTTGTGCTAACTTTAAGTTTTATTGTGTAGAATGGATGCAAGTTTTGGTATTGGGAAGAAGAGTACATCGATATATTGATAGAGCGAAATTTAGTACATGTGCGTGCACTTTTACCTAGCCTAGAGGCTGTAGATGAGACAAGTGCACTTGTTACTAGATTAGAGGCTAGACACGACACTACATGCAAGGAAGCAACAAGGCACGATACTACATGTGAGGAAGCAACATCGACTTCTGGCTTGAAGAAGAAAGAAGGGTGCAACGTCGACTTCTGGCTTGAAGAAGAAAGGAGGGTGCAACGTCGAGCCTCCTCCACAGATCAACAATGAGTGCATCGAGAATGTCCTAACCCAACTCAAGGGTGCAGTTATGGAAGTTGGGTATCTTCTCAAATGTATTCTTGTGGTTCTTGTTTTCTTTGGCCTTACTTTACTAGTCAAAATGTGATGATGTATTGTCATGTACCAAAAATGAATGATAAAAAAAGTTTAAGGACTTGCAAAGAAATGTGCACACGGACAAGATGCGGCCGGGATGCGTCCGCGCGCTGGGCGCACGGCCACCGCATCCCGGAAACTGCCCGGACACGACCCCATTGCCCTACCCAAACGGACAGAATCCGGACAAAACGGACGTCCGTTTGGGGTCGCGCGGTGGAGTTGACCTAACTGCTAGCTTGCGGGACGGAGCATGTAAACCCAGTCTGAATAGATCTTCGGAAAAAAAATAGTTTAAAAATAATTTGTGGGATCCCGAATCCACGAGGCCATTTCCTTCTTATCTACGGGATTGAGGACATTTTTTATAGGGACCTGAAAATTTAAAAAAATGATTGGCGGGAGGGAACTTTCAGCACTGGCCACGCTCTTAACCGAGCATGAACTCGCTGGAACACCTCGATGTTGACGACTACTGGACCCTAGCCGCCGCCGCGCGAGTGTCGAGAGGTGTGGCCACGAGCTATGCTACCTGGCTACTGCTACTGTCACCGCCACAGCGAGCTAGCTAGTTGCCATTGCATCGCAGGCGAGCGAGCGAGCTAGCCGTCGCTGTTGTCCGCCACCATGGTCCTTGTCTTGCTCCATGACGGCGCTGTCACCGGTAAGACGCGCGCTTCTTCTCTGTCCCTGACGAGATGCTCGCAGTGGGAGCGGTCAAGACGAATTCAATTGTAATTTAACGGAAGTTTTTAGGGGATTATGCGCACCATAGGGTTAGTTGTATGTTGATAGGACAATGGCATTGGAGGACAAGAGTGACAGAAGTTTCTTCCTACCATATAAATTGACGCATACGGGATTGAATGGGGGGAGGAGGATATTTCTTAATGTTGTTGTTGGGTGTTACCTTAATTAACTTTGATAGTTGCGGATTCTTGCCAATAGTCCAATCATAAGTTCATAGAGTTTCAGGTAAGAGACTACATGCTAGCAGAGGCCCTCTCCCACATAAAAACTTGACATCGGTCTAGTATCATAGCTAATTGGCTATGGACAATTACGCACACCATACCATCATTATTCGACACTCTCTATTTATAATAATGTGTAATATATTTTAACTTTATTTAGGCAACACTTATTTTATGTTTTATTTCTTTGTTATCATGCAAAGCTATCCTCTTTATATCCACAACGTATTTTTATTTCTAAGTTCTAGATGAAACCAAACGCTCGATGTACATAGGGTTGTATTAGTGGCAGATATGACATGAGAGAATATTGATCTTACCTTTAGCTCCTTGTGGTCTCAACACTCCATACTTATCACTTTCATCTTTAGAAAGTGCTACAATGATTCCTTGCACTTCGGGATTATCACGTGTATCCTTCATCCCCTCACACCCACTAGTAGAAAAGGGGGCAATGGTCCAGGTCGGGTCAGCCCATTAGTCCCGGTTCAATCCAGAAGTGGGACCAATGGGGGCATTGGACCTAGTTTAGGAGCCCCGGGGGCCGGCCGGGCCACGTGGGCCATTGGTCCCGGTTCGACTGGACCTATTGGTCCCGGTTGGTGGGACGAACCGGGACCAATGCGCCTCGCTCCTGGCCCACCATCATTGGTCCCGGTTGGTGGCTTGAACCGGGACCAAAGGCTGCCCTTTAGTCCCGGTTTGTGGCACGAACCGGGACCAATTAGTTGCCTATATATACCCCTCGCCCGCGAGCAGAGCACTCCCAGTGCTCTGTTTTTCGTGGCCGGCGAGGGGAGAGCTTTGTGGTGCTCTAGCTCACCTCCTATGCACACGAGGTGTTCGATGGAATGCCCGAGCCACACTACTTAAGCTTTCTCCTTTCCAAGCTCGACCTCCAAGCTCCATTTTCCTCAATATTTGTCTAGGTTTAGCGGTCCGTCACGTCCCGTCCCCGTCTTCACCGTCGTCGATCGCCTGCGTCGATCTCGTCGCCGGCACCACCGTGGTGAGCCTCTTTTTCTTATCTTCTTTCTGAAAGGAAAAACAAATTCTTACTTGTATGTTTATATAGATACTTGTATAATTTTCTTACTTTTATTATTGCATCTTATATAGTGCGATGGTTTTGGTATCCGCCCCCGTCGGCCCTCGTCTTGTCTATGATTCGGATGTGGTATATATTATCTTTTCATAACTATTGGTTCATTTATTGTTTATGACAATTATGCCGACCAATGTGACATAGATTTTATTTATCTAGGAGGTTGTTGAACCGGAAATTCCAACCGACCCTATTGTCGAGAGGTTAAATTTAGTTGAAGAAGAAAACAATTTGTTGAAGGAATAAATTAGAAAAATTGAGGCGGAGAAGATGATATTGGAGTTGCATGTTGCGGATGTCGTCGATGATCACAAAATCAAGATGGATGCAATGCGCTTGAAGATTAGAAAGATTAGAAAATATGCCATTCATACCGAGGCTTGGTATCATTATGCCGTTGGATCAGTTGTTACATTGGTTACGATTATGATCGCATTTGTTTTCGCAATGAAATGTTTTACATAGTTTCAGTGTATGGTTTAATTAATTTAGATGCTCTGCAGAGCTTTATGTTGTTAGATGAGAACTATGTATGTACTTTGGTTTTAATGTGATGATGAACTTCTATTAATTTGGTCACTTAATTATCTATTCATGATGTTCTGTAATGATTTTTGACACACTTAATTATATATAATACACGCAGATGAACCGGCAATGGATGTACGGTTCAAGACACACCTCCGAGTACATTAAGGGCGTGCATGATTTTCTCGAAGTGGCTGAGGCAAACAAGCAGAATGGTTTTATGTGTTGTCCATGCCCTATATGTGGGAATACGAAGTCTTACTCTGACCGGAAAATCCTCCACACCCACCTGCTTTACAAGGGTTTCATGTCACACTATAATGTTTGGACGAGGCACGGAGAAATAGGGGTTTATGATGGAAGACAGCAAAGAAGAAGAGTACAATGACAACTATGTGCCCTCTGAATACGGTGATGCTACTGAACATGAAGAGGAACCAGACGATGTGCAGGATGATGCTGCAACAGGCGAAGCTGCTGAAGATCAAGAGGAACCAGACGATGTGCCCGATGATGATGATCTCCGTCGGGTCATTGTCGATGCAAGGACACAATGCGAAGGTCAAAAGGAGAAGCTGAAGTTCGATCGCATGTTAGAGGACCACAAAAAAGGGTTGTACCCCAATTGCGAAGATGGCAACACAAAGCTCGGTACCGTACTGGAATTGCTGCAGTGGAAGGCAGAGAATGCTGTGCCTGACAAAGGATTTGAGAAGCTACTGAAAATATTGAAGAAGAAGCTTCCAAAGGATAACGAATTGCCCGACAGTACATACGCAACAAAGAAGGTCGTATGCCCTCTAGGATTGGA